CATCTGCCTCACAGAGAGCCTCTCTTCCTGTTACTTGGCTCATACGTTATCCTCTTCATAAAGCCTTTCATAATTCTTTCAGCCACTATTGCCTCTTCCTCCCAAACTATTTAAATATTTTGTGCAGAGTTGTATTTATTCAGCCTATATTTATACTGTATGTTTTTATTTGTACTTCTCTTCCCCTGTTCCCGTTAGAATGTCAACTCAGGGAGCAGTCATTGTTCTACTCTTTCTACTTGTTTCTCCAGTGCCTGGCACATATTAGGCACTTAATAAGTACTTGTTGATTGATTGATATCCTAGAAATAGAACACCTTTTTAGGAAGTCAGATATTATTTTCATTAGCATTTAATTGTTTTTTTCATTCAACACATATTTACTGAATGCCTATTACATCAAAGGCAGTATGCTAGTTCCTGTGAGGTTAACCAAGATTGTACCTTGAAGGCATTTGTAGTCTATTAAGGATGATAAGAGTAGAACACAAATAGTTATTCTGCAACAAGGGTCTAAATTTCATAAGAAAGGAGGAAAGCATTATAGAAATTCAGAAAACAGAGAGATCACTTTTGACTTAAGGATCAAGTAAGGCTTCAGAGAAGAAGTGGTATTTGTACTTTCTTTTGATGGATCCATGCGATTTCACAAAGGAGGGACAGAAAGGGCATTCTAGTCAGAGGCAACAATATGAACAAATATATGGAGGTGGGAAATCAGCAGTGTGTTTGGGCAACAAGTGATCTCATTTGGCTGGAGTATAATGTATGTTTCAGGAAGTCAGAGATGAGATTAGAAAGATAGGCTGGTCAAGTCATGAAAGTCCTTGAATGGAAGGCCCAAGAGTTTAGATTTTATTTAGTAGGCAGTGGGGAGTCATTGAAGACTTTTGAGCAGGAACATGTGATGGTAGATTTATTAGGCACTAATGTGTAGAGAGAAAGTGTGTGTAAGATGCCCTATAATTCATCTTCTATATATCAGATATGAAAATTTATTTTTGAATCAAAGTCTTAGATCTTAGAGTTAGAAGAGACCTCAGAGGTCATCTACTCTAACTCAGCCTTGAAAGAAGAATTCCCTCTATAGAGTTCCCCAAAAGTAGTCATCCAACCGTCTCTTAAAAGTCTGTGTTGAGATGGACAAAGGAGATGAATGAGCAAGTATTCAATGAAGCAATCAATAATCATGAAAAAATGATCCAAATCACTAATGGCAAGATAAATGCAAATTAAAACAACAATCATATTCTACCTCATACCTATAACCTGGGCAAAAATGACGAAAAGAAAATAGCAATTATACATCTAAGGAAAAGTAGACAAATTAATACAATGTTGGTGGAACATTGCATTTGTAGAAAGTCATTTGGAACTATAACCAAAGTGATCACCAAGTTATTGCATACTTATTGACTCGATGATACTAGTACTAGGCCTTTACCCCCAAAGAGATTTTTTTAAAAAAAGGAAAATGACCCACATGTACAAAAATATTTATAGGACCTCTTTCTGTGGTGGCAAAGATTGGGGAACTAATTTGGGAAATGGTGGAACAAATTGTGGTGCATAAATGTAATGGAATTTTATTGTATCATAAAAATGATAAAAGGGATAGTTTCAGAGAAACCTGGGTAGATTTATATGAACTGATACAAAATGAAGTGAACAGAAGAACAATTTATTTAGTAACAATGACTTTTTTTTTTAAAGGAAAGCAACTTTGAGAGACCTAAGAACTCTGATCGATATAATGACCAACTGTGATTTCAAAAGACTAGATAAAACATGTTACCCACCTCCTGACAGAGAGGTGATGAACTCCAGGTGCAGAACAATATATACGTTTCTAGAATGTATATTTAAGAATATACGTCCAGTGTGGGAATTTGTTTTGTTTAACTCTGCAGATCAGATCCAAGAATTTTATTTTTTTTTCAATTTGTGGAGAAACGGGTGATGGGACTCCAAAAATGAAAATAAAAATGTGTAGAAGAAATAGAACAAAAGTCAATAGAAAATACAGTCAAGTAAGACAGCTTTGGGGATAACATGTTGAATGTATTAGAAAAGCTCATTGTTCATAAAATATTCATGGTTTCATATATAGTCTTTTTCTCTTCTTTGTGTATGGAAATGCTCACCTTATTTGGTTTTAAGTTCAAAATTTTTTTTGAATATTTTATTTTTTCCCAATTACATATTAAAACTTTTTTTTACATTTTTTTAAAGTTTTGAGTTCCAAGTTCCTTCCCTTCCTCCCTCACATTCCCCCCAAGACAGTAAACAATCTAATATAGATTATACATGTGCAATCATGTAAAATATTTCCATATTAAGCATTTTGTACAAGAAGATGAGAGAGAGACAGAGACAGAGACAGGCACAGACAGAGAGAGAGAGAGAGAGAAGCAGTATGCTTCAGTCTGTATTCAGACAGTATCGATTCTTTCTCTGGAGGCAAATAACATGTTTCATTGTGAGTCCTTTGGGACTGTCTTGGATCATTGTATTGCTGAGAATTGCTAAATCATTCACAGTTCTTCACTGTACAATATTGCTATTACTGTGTACAATGTTCTCATGGTTCTGTTCACTTCGCTTTGTATCAATTCATGGAAGTCTAGATTTTTCTGAAACAATTCTGCTTGTCATTACTTATAGCACAATGATATTCCATCACAGTCATGTACTACAGCTTAGAAAAGCAACACCATTTTAAAAATATGAAAGAAAACCTCCAATGACAAGGAACTTGATACAGCCATTCCACTTTTAAATAATGCTTATTATTAGGATGGTTTTCCTATACCCATTTGTCCTAGGCTGTGCAGAACAAGTCTAATTCATCTTCCCACATGACTGCATACCTTTCATATTATTTTGGCCTCTGATTAGGAAGTTTCTGACCAAGATGTCTGTCATTGGGACATATCCATTTCAAGAATAGAGTTACTTTTGTTCCTACCTTTACTTTTTAGTTTTGAGTTTTATTCAATGATGTTTTATATATATGTATATATTATATATGTGTGTATAAAAATACACATGTATATATATAATATATATGTATGTACTTACATGTTTGTATATATGTGATTAAAATGAATATCCGTATTCTTAGAATTTTTCTTACTGAGAGGCAGCATGGTATAGAGGAGAGAGCATTGGACCTCATTTTAGGAAACCCTAGTTCAAATCTACCCCAAATTTAGCTAGCCGTGTGACTTCACTAGTTCCCTGTGCCTCAGCTTCCTCCTCTGAAAAGTTGGAATAATAATATTTGCATTGTCTGCTTCATAGGGTTATTGGGAGGAAGGTATGTTACAAACCTTAAGCGCTGGGCATATACGAATTATTATTTATTACCCACCTGACATGGTTATTGTAGGAAAAGCTCTTCATCAATCTCAAAGTGCTATATAAATGTGGGTTACCATCACATTCTTCCTTTATTATATTTTTGTTCTTTCTTGTTTTGAGGATGATTAGTATTGATGATACTAATACATTAAATTAATGTTATTTACAGAGTGCTTTTACATCATTTTCTTTGATCCACACCAAACTATGAAATAAGCAGAGAAAGGTTTTTCCCCCCAGACAAGGAAACAGACACTAAAAGGAATTAAATAATTTCCTGAGTTACATGGCTGATTCACTCTAAGCCTACAACCTGGGTCATGTAACTTTGAGTCCAGTGCTTTTTTCCCTCCATCATGCTGTCTAACTAGTTTCTTCCTTTTGTTACTAAAGAAATTTTTAAAAAATTTCCTGTGTCACCAATATCATCAGTGTACAATAGTCAGTAGGTCTTGGCCTATAATTTTTTTTCTTATTTTAAAAATGAATGATTATCATTGATGACTAATAGGGTAGAGTCTTTGCCCCAGGGCACTGACATTCAGGGTGGCAAGCTTCCTTCCTGAGCAATAGGGAGTGTGGGGAGTGAAGGCAGATCATCTTCCTGAGAGCCTCATGCTTTGTGGTCCTCCACCTACCTGTGTTATGTGACTTTACCCAGTTCTCTTATGAGTCTTCTCTAGGGTCATATCACCATGGAACTCTTTTCTGAGGGAAACACCTTCCCTCTCCAAACCCCAAACGGATGAGTCTAGGTCTGGCCTGGGGAGGGGGAAGAGGGAGAAAGGCAACAAAATGTAAACCTCTTGAAAACGGGGACTATATTTTTTGGACTTTGTATCCCTAGTTCCTACCTAGTAGATACCTAATAACTTTGTTGATTGATTAATGATTGATTAATTGGTTGATTGATGGGCCACCCATCTTCTAGCATCCTCCATGCTCTCTTTTCTTGAACTCTTCACTGTACTACTGCCACCACTACCATCGTCACCAGCCCCCAGAAGAAAAAAATTCCACTGAAGCTTTATAGCTTCATATTTACAGTGCCTGAGAATGATGGTCTAATCTAAACAAATGGTCTCTTCCCTACTTATCCCAAATAATCATTAGTATATATTCACTTATTTGATATTAAGTGTGATAATGGGAGGCAGTGTGGTACAGTGGAAAGAACACTAGCACTTGACTCAGAGGGCATGGGTTCAAATCCCACCTCTGAAGCTTACTGCCTATTTGTCTTCAGGCAAATTATTTAACCTCTCTGGTTCTATCTTTTTCCTCCAAACAAATATCATTGGAAGTTTTGGTACCCTTTCTATTTCTTTTGCCTAAAATAATTAAGTCATATTTAGACTATTTAGTTATGTCATTCATGTAGTACATAGGTATTTGTTGAGGTCTTTTTGTTTTATGTTTTTCATAAACCCTCCAAAAAAGTTTAAACCAATATTTTTAAAGATAAATTCTCTTCCTGCTGCTCTTTTATTTTTATGTTTAAATTTTACATTGCTGAGTTCAAATTGGGAAGTTAATGGTTTCTAAATAGATGCTAGCACACTAGTTAATATACAGCACATTATGCAATGAAAGAAGAAAATAAATGTTTATCTGAATATATATTTTTTTTCATACAGGTTCTGAGTTTCATCCGTACAGAATGGAATCCACTTGATGCTAGCTTTAGCACTAATCAGCCTTATCAGGTGCACACAGTAGAGCACTCCATCAGTATAGACAAAGAGCCCATGGCTGACAGCTGCATTTATGAGTGTGTTCGGAACAAAATCCACTGTGTAACAGTCACCAGAATACCACTGCGATCGAAGGCCATCAGCTGCTGCAGGAATGTCGCTGAAGACAAACTAATTCTAGGCTGTGAAGATTCTTCAGTCATTCTCTATGAAGCCCACCGAAGAGTGACTCTGTTGGCTCAGTCTGAAATTTTGCCTACATTCATCAGTTGCCACCCAGGTGGGGCCATCCTGCTGGTTGGAAGTTCCCAAGGGGATTTGCAGATTTTTGACATAGCACTATCGCCTGTTAAAGTACAGCTTTTGGCAGAAGACTGCTCACCGAGGAAGACCCTGCAACTTAATAAACATTTTGATGTCTCCAGTAACCTAATTCAAATGCAGTGGACAGTTACTCAGGTTGTTCCTCAGACTCCCCACGGTATTGACATTCATGATCTCCTGTTCCTTAGGTTTGACAGAGGGCCACTAGGTGTACTTTTGTTTAAACTAGGTGAGTAAAAGAAAAGAGTAAGTTATGAATTAAAGTTTTTCTATTACTGATGTTAGAATTAAGGGCATAAAACCATTCCCATAACACATTCACATTTTGATCAAATCAGTCTAGGCTTTATCCTTTCTACATGTGGTTTCATTACCAAGATTATTTCATTAATATCCCGACAGGAACTTCAGACATTTATCACAAAAATTACATTGATTTGTGTTTTGCCATAATCATAATTCCTGAATGTTCAAAAATGAAATGAATACAGTTCTCAACAAAGCATCCTAACCAAAAATGCCTTGAATTTTTAAAATAATTATGAAATGTATTAATTTCAAAAAAAATCCTTACTGAGAATACTTTGATATTTTGATGGATCTGTGACCTGATAAATATGAGTTTTCCACCCATTTATACAAATTGTAAATCATACATATTTTCTCATCCTGTGTAATTCTTCTCATATCCTCTCAGAAATGCTCAGTATACTAGAAACCTCTGCTAGATCATTTAAGATTTAAACAACAGCAAGAACAATGACTGATATTTATGTAGTGATTTAAAGCCTACAGAGCTTTTTCCATACAATAGCTCATTTGATCCTCATGAAAACTCCATGAAGTAGAATAGAAAATTATCCCCATTTTGCAGATAAGAAAATTGAGGTTCAGAGAAAAGTAACTTGCTTATATCAGACTGCTAGTGTTCTAGTAAGGATTTGAATTTAGGTCTCTTCTGACTCTAAGTCAGGACTCTTTTCCATAGACCTTGAAGGGACCTTAGAGAGCTTCTAGTCCTTTTTCATTAAATAAATGAAGACATAGGCTCAGAAAGATTAGATGATTTACCTAAGACAGTTTATCAATAGTCAATGTTTAGAGCCAAAACTTTTGACTTCCAATTCAGTACTATGGTTCTGTCAGGTATCAGTGCTGAAGAATATATGGTAAAACCCAAAGTGAGAGACATAGATAAGCATAAGAAAATGGGATAATTATATAGCACCTACCGTGGGGCCAGCACTGTGCAAAGCACTTTTACAAATATTATCTCATTTGTGCTATAATTATTATTTCCATTTTACAGTAGAGGAAACTGAGGCAAACAAAGGTGGAGTGACTTGCCCGGGTTCACATGGCTAGTAAGTGTCTGAGGCTAGGTTTGAACTCAGGTCTTTTGATCCAAGGCCCAGCATTCTATCCACTCTACCACTTACCTCCACTATTGAGAAAAATCTTTCCTAACTTCTCTTTTAAATGCACAAATGGCATGATGATTGTACATGTTATGGTCAGTTGCAAATAGAAAGGAAGCATATTTTTAAATTCTGGAAAACTTAGCTCCTCTTCTTACAAATAGTTTGATGAATCTATCTCATTGATTAAATCATTGCCAGTTCACACAAAAATAGATAGTGACTTAGGCAAAATGACAATTATTTTTAGCTCCTGAAATTAAATTAATTCATCTGACTTTATTAACCTAAAATAATAATAATAGCTAACATTTACATAGCACTTTTAAAATTTTCTAGGCATTTACCTATAGCATCTCATTTGAACTGAAAAACAATTATCTATTGGTCAACAGATCTATTGTATTGTAGTTGGAGTACTGTCTTTCCCAGTAATAGAAATATACCTGAATATACCCAAAATATCATTATTGTCCAAGAAGAATGTTGAAAGGTTAAAAAAAATGTGTAGACTGTCACTTATCATAAGATAAATAATCCTGCCCCACTTTGCCCAACAACAGGTTTTACAGTTGTATGTCTCCACATTCAACACCAAAGTCGATGTTTGCTGTTTTACATGTTGTCTATTATAAAAAAATACATCATCTAAATGACCCAGTTAACTATTAAGCAGAAGGCTCCCTGCCCAGTATACCTAGCTTTTCTTCAGTCCTCCCTTGTGGGACTACTCACAGCAGCTTTCCAGAAAGCCCAGCTCTCCCTGCCTATCTCTAGCACATTTATGTTCTTACTAAAGCAAACAAGCTCTCAGTGCAGGGATTTAGAGGCCTTCTTGCTAATTGCCGGCTTGTAGACTTAATTGGACTATCTCCCTGGGCACTATTCCTAAATCAATTAGGCAATGAGTTGGCTGTCACCTCTTTTTCCCAAGAAGGTCTCTTGAATGCCTAACATCCAAGAAAAACCAGGCCTCCCAGATGGGAAGATGGTGACCTCTCCAATTGAAATATATCATTTTAAATTTGTTTTTCTATCATTATAAATTTTGTAGGCTAGGGAAATGTTCCTATCTTGCAGCATCTTTTAAAGGTCAAATTATGCAGTTCTGCATTGATAGTTATCATTCTCTTTTGCCAGTTTTCATGCATTAATAAGGTTAATAACTACTATGCTGTGATTAGTCATTTTTTTGCTTTCTTGAAATAGTGAATGCATCAGATCTAACACCTAACATCTTTCTTTTCTCCACAAAAAAAGTTACACTGAAATAAAACTTAAGACCTAATATTTATTAGCATCTGCTCTAGTGGCAGCTAAAAACATGCGTGCTTTTCTTGTGCTAACCTATTTCTAAATCTGGGCATTCATATGAATTTTTCACGTATAAATTAAGTCATTGCAAACATAAACAGGTAGTTGCATGTACACTTTACTCAGGGCATATTTATGAGGTTGGGTTTTTTCTTTTTTCATGTGTTCATTGTGCAAACCTTTGGAAAATTTGACATTAAAGGTGTGGCCTATAATTTCACTGTGATTGACCAGAATTTAAAAAGGAAATTTTTTTAGTTATTAATATAGTAGATCCAGATTCTAGTTAAACCAAGATTTTGATTTTGAATTCCATAGGTCAGTTGATTTCGCCACAGAGGAAAATTCAGGTTCATTGCTACAGACCACCCCACCTTAAGGCTGAACAGACATCTCACATTTGCCGAGGCACAAGTGTGGATGACACACTCAGTAAAAATCTATCATTGCTATTAAAAAAAAGTAACCAAAGAGTATGTATTATTCAGAAAGAGTCAGCAGCAAAGTCTTCATGCATGAAGGGCAGCATATTGTTTTGATGTTTAATATCATTAAGCCTTCAGAATCTCTTCACCTAACAATTATAACTATCTTCATCTTTGAATCATAGTATCTCAAAATCAGAAGGACCTTCAGGGGTCATCTTGTCCAACACAAGGCTGAATTAGGAGACTACTTCCTAGCAAACCTTTGGCCACATTCATCCCTTACTTGAGGACTTCCAGAGATGGGTAACTCATCAGCCCCAAGGGTTTTGACCCATCCTACTTTGTACAGCACTAATTGTTAGGAACTTTTACCAGTGTCTATTTCTCCTTGTCTTATCTTTTGAGGCCAAGCAAGCATGATTTCTCTTCCACGTAACAACCTGTCACACATTTGGAGATAGCTATACTATCCCCTCTTAACCTTCACATTAAACATTCCACATTCCTTTAATAGATCCTCATATGGCTTGGATTTGAATTCCCTCACCCTCTGATCAGCCTCCTCTTTATGTGGTCTAGAGTGCCCGTGACCTGGTGAAACTTGGTTTCACTGGTTCAGCCCAAGTCCCCAGAATGTATGTAAGCTTGGTCGTAACTGACCTGAAGGCCTGGTAGCTCCGCCTTCCCAGCTGCCATTACATTTTGGCACAGTTAGTGTTGTTTCTTGGCTCCCTGCTCCTCATTCAATCAATCATTCATTAAACATTTATTAAGCACCTATTATGTGTAAGCCACTGTGCTAAGTGCAGCACTCCTCATTCCTTTTTTTTAAGGCAGTTCAGAGAAAACCTTCATTTCAATGATCTAAACTATGGTATCCCACTGCCTTCGCTCACTGGTGATTGAGGTGTCCTAAATTAGCACTATGTCAGTTTTTGGTCTAAAAACTCTATATAAGTGAGTCACTGAGTGTCTCAGGGCCCATGACCTGAACTGGAATCATGTACATCCCACTCTGCATCCAGTCCGCCCACCACATGCTATCTGGGGAAGTAGGGACAATGGGGTTCCCACACCTATATCCATTCCCAGTTGATGTCAGTTCCTTTCCTATGAATGCTACCCATGGGTGGCAGTGTTGCTCTTTGGGATCAACTCCTTCCCCTTTTGTCCCTGCAGTATCAATGCACTTTTAAAAATGTGGCATTTGGCTGGGAATATAAGGTCTGATCAATATATAGTATATAAGAGGACTGTCACATCCCTCACACTGTATGTCAGTGATTCAGTGTGAGCTCTCATTAGGTGTTCTTGTGGCTTTGTCATAACTTAGCTCATCGATAGAGTCCACTAGAACCTACAATTCCTTTCCACATGCTCTATCATCTAATCATGTCCCTCTCATCCTGCACCTGTATAATTGAGTTTTTAAACACACAATTAGAGGCAGCTGTGTGTCACAGAGGATAGAGTGATAGGCCTAGAGTCAGAAAGACCAGAGTTCAAATCTATTCTCAGACATTTGTTAGCTGTGTAACCCCAGGCCACTCACGTAGCCTCTTTTGGTCTCTATTTTCTCAACTGTAAAATGGCAATATTAATACCACCCACCTCCTAGGCTTGTTGTAAGGACCAAAATAGGTAATATTTGCAAAGCTCTTGGTACAGTACCTGCCATGTAGTAGGCACTGTATAAATGCTCATTCCCTTTCCTCTCTCCCCAACCCAAATGTAAGACTTCTCATTTATCCCTTTCAAATATCCTATTGAAAGATAACTTGACAGAGTAAATAGAGAGCTTGTTTTAAAGCCAGGAAAACCTGGGTTCAAGCCCCCTCTCTGACACATACCAACTGTATGGACCTGGGCTATACCTCTCAGTCTGCAAGGCAGTTCTTTAAGACCAGAAGGGACAGAGAAGGTCCTTAGCTGAATTAGTACAGAAAGTTTCCTCACCAGGAGCTCCCTGCACTAATGAAATTATGGGCCCATTCTCCAGAAGTTCTCCTGACCTAAATTTCATCTCATTAGATGAGACCTCTAGTTTCAGTCCGCCAAAATCTTTTTGA